TTATTATTGTTGTTATTATTATTATTATAATATGTGGTTTGATTGGCCAGACAAACATACATATTTATAAACATTTTAATATACTAGAAAAATTAGTACTCAGCAATGATGAATTTATTACAAAGATTTTCTAGGTAGGTATATGCTTAAGTCTTGTTCAATAGACTCACTGCCACTGTTCATTAATCATCTCATTCATATAAGAAAATGGGAAGCCTTAGTTCCTGTCATAAAAAGCAAGTTAGTTATATTGTTATTGCTGCAGGTAGCAGCGGTGGCCGCAGTAGTAGACTCTTCGGTCTCCTGATCAGTCGCCGTGCGCTGTGCGGGTTCGAGTCCCGTCCCAGGAGAAATGTTTCTCTTGGCTATGGATGTTGTGATTGTCCGTAGGTGGTAGACGGTCTCTGACTGTCGAACGCGGAAGTACCACCCGGCGGATCTCGTAGGCGGAGCCAGAATGTGTGCATGTTGCATACACACGTGTTCCCTCGCCAGAGTCCGTGTGGCGTTCCCCCTTTCCCATGTATCCCCCTATAGCACCACGGTACCCAATGGGTGCTTAGGCCTTAGGCCTTCGTGGTGGTTGGAGTATAAAAAAGTACTGTTATCCACACTTGGCATTCATCCTTTGTCAATAGACAGTAAACATAAGAAATGGTACGAACATAAGATGCACGTGGCTACAAAGTTGTAGTAAAAATAAATGACTATATTGTCTTCTACTTGTATTGAGAAAGGTGGAGGAAACAAAAGTCATTACACAACAATTTCGAATGGCACTATTAATATTTCTAACATGTTTTGTCTTGATTACTTGCCATCATGTACCTCCGCATAGGGTTTACTACCCATTGCTCAAAAGCATGTCACAACGTCATATATAGTTGTTTATGGTCGCAAAGACGGAAAGCAAAACCTGTGCAGCCTGAAAAAAGGTTGGCAACCATGGAGCTGGAAATGCAAGATGGTTAGAGTGTCGTTATTTAGCGAATTACGTACTGGAATCCGGCCAAAATTGGCTTTCTCTACGGAATTCGAATCATCCGCGAGGATTACGTGAAATCGCATAATAAAACAGTCTCAGAAGTTTTGAAATACTAACGTACGCCGCATCGCACAGCGTCGCATGCTGTTGGTTCTGGTTGTTGCTCTTTGCATTATGCAATGCTGCTGTTGGCTCTATTTGTGCTTCTGTGTTACTGCTATTCTTGAAGGATTCGTGGATTGAACAGTATTAGACCAGGAAGCATGTCCGTATCGAAAATATATTCTGATCCGATTTTTTTAACAACCTCATTAAAAAAATTATAGTAATAGTTATTTTTTTGCGCTTCGGATAAGCTTTTTGGATCATTATACACGAAAAGGGTTTTAGGAACCTAGGTAAGGTTGAAATTTCAGTTTTTTAATCTCGTTTATCTGACTCGAAAATGTGTCATAATATTTTACTCTTTATCGCTTATCTCTAGAACTCTCAATGTTTGCGAAAAGTTCATAAAAACTATTTTGTTCAGAATGACCCAAGTAACCTAAAGCCGACTTCTGAAATTTGTTTGAAAAAATTGTTTTAAGACTCTTTGCTGCAATTTTGGGCATGGCAACATGATTTTTTTATTAAGATCATTAACAAAATGTTACTAAAATGTTTGTCCAGGCAGATGGAAGGATTTCATTGGCCTAGCTTGACAGTAAAAAATATCATATTAAATCGTAAGGATGACAGCTCAAGCAGCTATAATTAATAACTAGTTTGTATTGAAACTCAATAATGCCTTTAGATCAACCCCAAAGTTCTATACTGCGCGCCGGGTATGATATCACTCTGCTTTGCTTTAAAGCGAGCTGGTCTTCTGAGATAGGCACCAATTCACAGTAAATTTACTTGGCTCCTGATGGTTATGCTGACGTTACCACTATATCTATATACCCATTACATGTGATTTAGGCTTTTTACCAACAATAGCCAAGAAAAGTAGATCAGCTTTGGATCCATAATGCACATGAAGCATTGGTAGTCGAAGATGTCACAAGACCGGTGACCAATCTTGCCATACATGTACCTATGATGAGCAGATTATATTCACTAAACCTGGTACCAAAATGTTAACTAGAGCTGGTATTTCCATCCTCACTAATTTTATATGAGCGTATTAATTATGCATGATTAAAGAGCAACTGTACAGTGCTATAAATCATAGCCACTTTAAATACCAACCTGCGACTTCATGAATGAATCCCGATAAGGCAAAATAAGTACGACTCAAGGCACTAATTACGCTCAGTCTTTTACTCACACTCTTGAAATATCTTGATGCCTTCCACATTTCCCACAATTAGATTCACGAGATAAGTATCCAAGTGGCGTTCCAAATAACGCACTATTCAAAGACGATGCAACATCACAGTATATTCAATATTACATAGCAACGAGGCTACTAGCAATGTTTCGGAAGACATCCCCTTCATCGTTCCTAAAAATGTCCGCAGAAATTATGAGTCTTAAAAAGGCTCCGGTATTCGACCTGATCACCGGAAAAGTGCTCAAGTAATTGTTCTAATTCCAGCGTATCTATTCAACGCAATAATCTGTTTGAATTGATTACCACATTTATGAACAGTTGAGGGACTTACATTGACAACACGACCTGGAAAGAGAAGTGACATAGACCCATGTCAGTACTGCTTATCATCTCCAAGTTATTTGAAAAACTGCTACTTAAGGGATTTGCGGTCATAGAAAAGACAAACTTATCCCAGGTTACCAATCAGGATTTGGAACTAAACAGTATACTATCGATCACAGACATAGAGTCAGCTCTGTAGGGCAATGAATTTTTCAATGCACTGTTCGTAATTAGGTCGTATATCTCGAGTTAAATAAGAGAAGCTCTTCAGCTGATGGACAGTCTCAACCTCTGGTGGTTGGAGAGAGATCAAATTATCTAAAAGGCATCAATGAATTGTCTGTTTATAAGTTTTGATATTCGGGCCTCAAAGATACCCTCAACACGTAAAGGGGCCAAGGGGCCGATGCTAGACCTACACCCTACAGCATAGCTACTTTGTTATTGAAAAAGGCACTCAATATTATCAACTGCCGAAAACATGAGCGGTTTCTCATGAGCGCGAAGACGGCAGCGGTTTCGTGCCTTTTGCTGGAGTGGGAAGTGAAAAGTGAACTAGCGAGGGGCGTGGACTGTTCACACGGTTACGATTAAGTTCATTCCTTGAAGTCGACCTCTGTTGGATGTTGTGCTTGTATTTAGCTACGCGTTTAGTGCTATGTTAGTGGAGGGATTGAAGGGGTCACGTGAAGAAATCAAAAATAAAAAAGTGTTGCTAGTGATTACCGTAGGCGTAGCTTCCGACTGGCTCGTCCACGCCTGAAAATCGAACATGGTTGATACCGAGCGTGAGCGGCTGAAGACTCTCTCAACGTCATAGGAATTCACACAAAGATTCAGAGCAATTTTTAGGGAGTCGCGGGGATGATTAGTGTTGTATATACTATGGATACACGTGAGAAACAGGGTATATGCTGCCTTCTGCCATGCGGCCTACTTTCATGTACTTCAAGCTAATGATGCCTAATCGTATCAAATTGCTTTAATGGACCTTTTTGTTTGTTGGTTGAATCCGACTACAGATTTAATTTCTGTGGTGGGTGTAGATTTCTCATGTAAATTATACGCCGGGACCTTAGAAACAAAGTAACTATTTCAAAAGCAAATTAACTTTATTCATCTATATAGGGTTTACGAGCAGCTATATGCTTTCTTTGCCCAGTTTTATTTGAAGCTGGCTAGGTTGCGCTAGTAAATTCATGATGATTAGCCATATATGGCTTTATATTACATCCATGTTGTTATAATTTATAATACTGTTTTCTATAAGTAGTTCAAGCTGAGTCTTTAATGTTGAAGGGTAGAAGCAATTCGAATATTTTATACCGCAATAACACAAATAGCTTGACCTAAAGAGAAATAATTTCGAAAACTAAGGATTAGACCCTTGTATCTCAATAAGAAGCAAAGAATTACTGATACCATTGACGTATACAAAATGCATTCAACGGAAGAGTTAGAATGTTTGCTTTCTTGTCTCATGTACGGTACGATCTTCCTGTATTCCTTCTCATTTTGTCACCATTTTAATGCCTTCAGGTGTCGACTAGCATATTTCACCAATCAAAATATAAGCTAGAGAGGTGGCAAAAACGGGCCAAACATCCCTGCGTCTTCTATGAAACAGTATCAGAACCAAACACTCTAACTCTTTTCAAAGTAGGTTACCAAATTCATCTTTGTGTTGTGCTACTCAGTTTAATCGTATACGTACTTTGATTCAGCGAACAAACATGGGCTATTATCAGCATGAAATCTACAGGATAAGTTACAGATGTTACATTGAAATAATCATCACCAAAAATCGTCTAAACATTTTGAAGGCTATTAGCTTACCACTTTTCATAGACTCCTTTTGATACTAATCGATCTTAATCTCATTTATTAAAATTAATTAACAATACCTCCAGCTAGAATAATCTTCTTTCCCATGCTTTGTGCATCTCCAGTCTCCATCTGTATGTATTAGTTATTTTATCAGCAAATCTTGAAGATATCAAACTCGCAAATCACCTCGCCATTGTTATAGCCCCGGTTCATGTTTATAACCGAGTCTTAAGCATTCTTTAATGGAGGGTCTTGCTGAGAAACGTTTATTTTATGCATTATGTGAGGTATTATTCTATAAAAGCATGTATTTAAAACAAATTGGCTTCGTACACGGGAAGAAAAGATTAATTCATTATAATCGCTGAAGTAGGGTGAATTAATTTCAAGGTGTTATTGCATTTGTTTTTTTTTGTCATTTCTAGGTTTAAAATCGGGAGGAAGTTATCGATCGGGACGTTAAAACTGAGATACTTTATTCTATGTTCACTTCTCGAACAAGATCTTGAAAACTATTATTAAAACAAACTGTCAAAAAATATACTTGATATGAGTGACAACTGCAGGTGTAGAAAAAGTAAATTAGAACAAGTGCTCAATATTTTACTACAAGTAATGAGAAATGAGTGAACTCCGAAAGAACAACCACACCGCATCTGGATCTTGCCAATACTTGGTTGAAGGTCGTTTTATCCCTTTCAATTAAATTAGAATCATTCCCACTCTTTCGGCGTGTATGTAAAAAAAATGTCAGTAAAATCTGAATCTATAAAGTAATTTTCACTATCCCAAGATTGTTACAAAGGGAACTGACAACAAATTAAATAACTCCTTTCCCTTAGCATCAAATAACTAATTAGGTATAACAAGAAATACAGTTCGCCCAGGATATTTGTGTTGATGAAATAAATGCGGAAAAAATTCGGGTTGTTATTTGGTTATTTTCACGTTTTATCTTCCGAATTGCTGTTTATGTTTGTGGTTCTCGTTTCAAATTATAAACGAATTGTCGACCTGACGGGAAACATTTTGAATACTGATTGAAACAAAAAGTGATATTTTTGTGTGTTTTTGTTTTCTATGTGAACAAATTGAGATTCATAAATATTTTTCTAATCTTCTTGACAACAAATTGACCGATTTTAAAACATCAAACGTCAAAATGAAGGACTTCGAAAGACCTTTCAAACAAGCGGTTACTCGATATCCTTTGTCATTCAAGGGGATGCCCCTAGGGGGCAGAGGGTGAAAGGGGTTGAAGTAATTTTTGGTTAAACAGTTGTCGCCCTTGACAAATCTTTTAACGTGTCTCGGCGGTTTTTTCTTTTAATCCGTGGTTTTCGATAAGTCCGTGGTGGGAGGTTTTCAAATGTGTTTAAAGTACCCAGCAATTTTGGTACGCCCTACAACAGAACTGGCCACAATTTCATAAAAATCCAGTTAATCATTCGTAAGTATCAAAATGCATCCACTTTTTATATAATTAAAGATACGTTCAGGCTGCATGAACCTGTAGGGAATGTGGTTAATTATGTGAAATTTTCTCTACTAATGCCCGCTAATTGAAGAGCTGAAAGATGTTGCATAGTAGTTAAAATGATTTGCGCGTTTGTACCATGAATTACCTATAATTACGTAAGATTAAAGTTGAACGCAATTGATTTTTTTGCCCACGTCAAGTGAAGGAGGAAAGATTTTTAACGAAACGAGGGATACGCACAGAAATCTAATAGATTGTCGAAGACTTCTCAAAAGGATCGTCTTCAGTTGTTTCTGGCTTATAGAATCAGATCGGTCACATAAAGGCACTAAGAAAAAGATAAAAATTCACGTTAAAGCGTTGGACAATCACTTTGATTTAGTACTCACTTCAAAATCCATATTTTATAGTAGACCAAAATTTGATTTCGTTGTTGAAATTAATATCCAAAATTCCAGGTCGCTTGCAGCGATGGAATATTTTTCTTCGGAAATACAGGGTTGGTCATATTAAAATTCACTTTAGTTTTTTAAATAAAAAAGGGAAACCCGGGCGTAACTGACCTTACAAAGACCTACTTTTTAATCTGGGAAACATCCTCTTTTCAGACGAGGCTCACTTTCATTTGGACTTTGATTTATTGGCCACCACGAAGCCCTGACTAGTCCCCACTCGATTTCTTTTTATGTGGATATGTCAAAAGTCGAGTCTACAGTGCTGATCCAAAAACCCTCAACGAATTAGAGCAAATCGTTAGATACGAAATGACGGCAATCTCAAAAGCAATCTGCAGGCGAGTATTTTACAGTTTGAGGTTCCGTTTCGAAGAGTGTTCTTGGATATCTGGAGGCCATCTTGACAATAATAATGCTTTATTGTTCAACAGAAATTAATTCCATTCACAGGATAAACTATGAGCCCAAAAAAGGATATATCTACATATCCAAAGAAAATACAAAAAGGGAAGAATATAATATTCAACAAGAAAACAAGTCAGTCAACATTGACATCACACACGTCACTAATAATATTGACATTAGCATGTAAGACATTGGAGAATTTAATCCTAAATTTGTATTGAAGCGATCTAACTTATAGTACGGGTACGACCTAAGCCTGAATCGCGGTGCATTGAAATCTAACTGTGATAATAGGTACATTCTATCTATTATATTGTGCAACACATTATGTATAAATATTGAGGAAAATTGAACACGCCTCACAACAAGGAGTGATAAACCAAATATATAACACAGAAATGCCCTTTATATTATATAAACCATCACGTTTTAAACACAATTATTTGAGAAAATGCCTTAGTACCTCTTCGAAGTTATGTGTGACGGCTTCCAAACTAAAGATGCATATTCTAACCTAGAGCGAACATATTATGCACAAAATAACTTTTAACATTTATATTACCGAACGCTCTTCTCTTCTGACAATAAATCCATAGAATTTGAAAGCATCTGATATTTTTAAGGTGATATGAGTTTTCAAAACATCAAGTGTCAGTGTCCTTTTATATCATAAAAATTAGCAAACTGGATTTTCGTCTTGTCTTCTTGAATTAATAACTGAGCACTAATGTATCCATTTGGTTAGAATAAATTACTTATCTACCTGATAATCGCAAAAGCTTGCAATGTAAGGTTAAAAATCTTACAGAAAGATCAGACTTAGCTTAGAATGCAGCGTGTTTCTAATGAATAATCCCGCATACTAGTGTATGTGCATTGAGTTGCTAATATGGGCATACTGTCTAGATATATTATAATGTTAATGAGACGAAAATGGGACACTGAATTCACTGCCTTCCTTATTGAGATGCATAAAGTAGATTCTGTGGAATGCTTTGTCTGTAAATATCAAAGGTACAAGTACGCATGTTAACCCAACTTGTATCTCGGAAAACATAAATGTGGAAATTGTAGATTTACTGACGAACGGAAGCTAATTGATTCAAATCTCAAGTTGTACCTATTATCGGACATTGGCGAACTATTTTTGGATATGCTTGTACCAAAAATAAACGGATCACACGCCAGCTCTAGGTAGTTTTGCCCTTCCTCAGTTTTCACTAGAATTCTCGTCCCTTTTGTTTTTCTTCTTCTGTCAATTTTTGTTTGTTTACCTCTGAGCCGATCTCTGCTAATTTAGTTCTTTTATTTCCATATGACCATAGATCTTCCCTAGCTGATGCAGGGTAGCTTCTAGCCAATTTTGATTCCTTTGACTTCTTTGGCGCAAGCATGTCTTGTTTGTTTTCTGTAAATTAAAGGTCATTATAGATGAAAATGAGACAGACAAATAACTCAAAGGGCTTGTCGTAGAATCAGACGAGGAAGAAGAGCAACAAAAGAAAAGAGAATTGGAGTTGAAAAGGAAAAGCTTCGATAAATATCATGCGCTGCATTTGGATTAGGAACTTTTGGAAGAGGAAGATGCTGATGAAAAATAAAAGAAAAATCCACCAATACCTTTGGCACATCACAATATAGAGTTTTTCGTCACCTGTCTTGAAGTGACTAGACCAATGCCGTACTGATGATTGCTATAAAGCATGAAACAACGTGGTATAGTATTGCTTACGATCACCCAAACAAATACTATGCAGCGTATGCTTGTACTGACTGACAACTATTGGGTATAGCAGGCAAGTACATATGTATGTAAAGGAACATAAGCAGCGATATTGCAATTTTTCGCTCATTGGAACCAACTCGACAGGGAGTCAGTACCTCTGGCAATCGGAATACCTATTTCCAAGGTTAATAAGGCTGGTTTGTGGTCCTGTAAAAGCACAGGAAGCTCATGCTGATTCACTGCAGGTATCGCTTCTTCAGTAGCACTTATTTTTTATTTGCTGGCAGTCGGTAATCATATGAATAGCATAACTCAGTAAAAGCATCTAATAACTAATGCTTATTAATAATACTGCTACTAAATGTTGATAGTCCAGTCGACGTATATTTTCATAGTCAAGGTTTGAGAGATATCACTTGTTTCCATGCAAGTCTTGCTCAAGGTGGAGTAGGATTGTGAGGATACCTTAAAGGATTTGACGAAGTGAAATAGGGTGCTAGTAGTATACCTAGGCCTCAAAGGTGTTGTGAGTGTGCGCCCAAGAATCTTATAAAACTGAAGCCTAATTGTAGGCTGTCTATAAAAGAATGGACATTGAAGAATACTTAGAACAGTAGAATAGCCAACAGAACAATGCCGTTTGAAGAAGGAAAATCTTTGATGTATGAAATATAATAATAATAATAATATAATATTTATTACCCATTAGACATGTATAAAACATGTATAGGGTTCGACAGCAAACAATTTACAGTATGTATATACATAAAAAAGACAGTAAAATGACAAGCAACAAGAAACAATAGCTTAAATTAAATATTTATTTTAAAATGGACATCATAGGCTAACAACAGCAGATAAAATAGATTAGCTTTCCAGCAGTTAAAATTAATAAACTAACAGAAATACAATATAAAAATGTATAAAAGGACAAACAATAAGTGGATAACAAACAATACAAAAAAAGAACATCAAAATATCCACAAAGTCACTGGTGGCGAAGTCTTATTAATAAAATATGTTCTTAACTCGGCTTTAAAATTATTTAAGGAGCTAATTGTCTTAATATACTCAGGCAGCTTATTGAATATCCTTGGTCCTAAAATAGAGGGAGATCTACTACCCAGCTTACATCGAGCAAAGGGTAGATGAATGTCGTGCTGCCTATGAGTATTGAATGTATGTATATTACTATTCAAGGTGAAATTATATCTGTTAATATACGTATATATTGCCATTTCATAAAGAAACAACGAGGGCAGTGTTAGAATTTTTAATTTCGGGAAGAAGTCTCTGCTACGGTATATACTGTCTACACCTCCTATGCACCTTATTATTCTCTTTTGACTTCGAAATACCATTGAAGCAGTCACCGAGGAACCCCAGAAACAAAATGCAACAAAACGTTCTTAACCAGGAAATTGGGAATTCCGTCAGCACCTGAGGAACGTTTTTTAACCTTTTGTCGATCAGATTAAAGAATTCTTCTTCCGTAAATGGGTATAGATACATGTGTTCCCTAACCGCATCGTTGTAGTTAGGAACTGTGTTAATAGTTCTGGATGTTTTCTCTATAATTTCTAGAGGAGCATTTTTAAAGTATTTGTTAAAGTGATCGGCTATTTCTTGAGGATCAGTAATAGTTTGCCCATTTTCGTCCAGTACAAAGTTTTTTGTTGTTTCATTTTTTCCACTCAGTTCACCTACTACATTCCAGGCAGATTTAACTGTATTATGTGAGCTCAACATAGTTTTTTGATAATAGGCCCTTTTTGTTTCCCTAATCAGTCTTATGACTAATAGGCGCGTAGGTTCGAAAGTATGCATTGCTAGCTGCGAAAATTTGACACGTACCCTCTCCCACCTCCCACAGACCCCAACATCAAACTTGTAACTCCTGGAAATTTTATTTTTTCTGGAAATGATCAGGTGCCTCTAAAACGTAAAAACCAAAGTTTGAGTGATTTAGTTTTTTTTCGTGATTTTGCCGCTAGGTCCCCCGCCACGTGTTCCAATACATCCTGTTTTGGATGTACCAGTCACGTCACACTCTCATCGCTCCGAAAACGCGAACACCCACCTAGTATTGTTGTTGCAACACACCCGATGACTGTTTTACAATTGTTAACTGCCAATGCTGCATCTGCGTTATTAATGGATCAATGGATCTTTGACCCCTCAACGGCACCATGTTACTGGTCTTGTGGAAAAAGAATATGACACACATCAGTTCGGACAAAAAAGATAGAGATTTACCACAATACAAGTTTCCGATGTAACACTAATGGGTAAGAAATAACGATTGCCTTGTGACCCCGGACTATATACGTATAAATGACCTATAAGAGGCTCAACAAAATCCATCCATACGCTCGCCGAGTCTTGCCGCTTTTTACCTTTATCGGCCAGTTGCATTCACTAATTACATCAGATCGAAAATATTACACGATGATATATTGAGCGCGTATAATTTCTGGCCTGTCGAAGTCTAATGAGTTATACTATCTGTTGAGTTACGGCCGCTTCGATGCCACATCGCTAATTAACAACAACTTAATCGCGTTACCAGGAAACGAGAGAGTTGGTGAGCCTCTCCTTGGTCGTTTGGTAGTACCGAGGTGTACAGATCACGAATTGTAGGGTCGCTTCAGCATCAAACCAATCTCATGCATGTCCTTCGCTCACAAGATGGCAAACAGTGAGGGGATGTGATTTCTTTTAAAGCTGGAGTATAGGTTCCTCTTACATTTTCTCCACATTCTACTGCTAATTCATTACCGTATGCTGAATATCCCTCTGGATGTTTTAGCTTTGTTGGCAGCTGTCATGTAAAGTGTCATAATTTTCATGTCGAACCATTGTCCCCAATTTTTGTACCAGCATGTTCTGCTATGACTGGTCCTCTTCTACCATTAATTTTGCATTGGAATCCCAGATCGAACACTTCAAACTTCTATGGATGCGTCACTGTATATCCGAGATATTTTTAACACCTCTTATCAGCTCTCCGACTTCAATCAGCCTCATTGAACTAACTCGTCCAATTTGAGAGAAATTAAAATTACCAACATTAGAGAGATAACCAATCTGCCTCGCTTTCGAAATACAAGTTTGCATCCACGTTTTGTGCAGCTTTAAAAAGGAAAAACAGTTTATAATGAAAAAGCGAACAAAATTAGTATGTAAACTTATTAAAAAAGTGCTAACTGCAGCAATAATATATGGCGTCACGTAGGTTGTCTTTCCGTTTCCCACGGAGCAGCGTTATCAGTTCATAAAGGATTATGTTCAGCTTTAGTTAGACCCTTTGAGAAAAAAGTTAGACAAACGTATCTCTCAAGTAAACCCGCCAAGTCAGTCAAAGGGGTCCCTAGAATTACTCCACAGACATTCTTTCCCTGACCTACCGGAAGTCCATCTGGCAACGTCGCGTCTCCACGATACATAACCCGGTCAAACGCGGCGGAACACTGACCAAGATCGGCATGCCGCCAGGACTAGAAGCAGATGCCTATCGAAAACATTTTTAAGGGCAAGGGTGGGAGTGTATAAATATATGTACAAACATCAAGAGATTGAGATGTACCCCCCCACCCCCTAATTATTTATTCCTGATAATGTTATCAAAATTCATACAGATCCTATGAAACATCAAATAAAAAAAGAACTGTGAGCGATTTTATTTGCCTTGTTCTCCGCCTCTACGTGACCAATTGTCAAAATATAATACCTCAGTAGGCGCGAGAAGTAAAAGCGACCACTTTGCCGAGACTATCCATTGATTGTTACTTCCACCGCTCAAGAGATCCGATCATGAAAAGTTTTCTGGCGAGTGGTTTTACTTTTCGTACTGTGTATACTTCAGGTGGTGCTGGGCGCGATTTTTAATTTGCAGTCATTATTAGTTTCCCATGGTCTGAAAGAGATGAGGCACACTGATAGCGCTGGCTGGGTGCAACTGCGGTTATTAGGTCAGTTTGGGTGCCCATCAAGGTTTATGGTTCTCCATTCACGCCTCTTTAAGCTGCTTATAGTAATTGAAAGCTTGGACGCAGGGTGTTCCACTGAAGATTCTTGTTTCCCTTCACTAACGGTCCTACTACAAAATCAGTTACTAAGTGAATTACCCTTTAATCAAACTGGAGAATATTGTCCAATCTTCATGACAAGCTGGCGGCCTAATGGAAGTTGTAGAAGGTTTTGTTGACGTCGCCTCCTAGGCGATTTTGAGGATCACAAAATGAAATGACAATATTTTTCATTTATCCGTCAACCAGGTGTCAGTTCATTTGTTTTTGATGCTAATATACAGTGTGCATTAACCATAGTTCGAACAGTTCTGAGCCTCGCCAACATCGTGTAAAGCCATCTTTTCAACGTCAAAATGCCACCGTGTTAAGCGCAGCAAAGTCTTGACACTTTCGCCCTCAAAAGACGCATCTAAAGAAAGCAAGAAAGCATCAGGACGTTCATTATTTTGTGTGACACGCTAGACACGCACCCTCGCTCGTCGCCCCGAAAGCGCCAACAGTTTCCAATAATTCCGGTTGACCATTATGCGATCCTGGGCCTACATTGTGCATGGAACATGGACTTTGACAACTCAAGGCCAACATGCTTGTTTTGTGGGTAAAAAGTATAAGTCACAACAGTTTGACTTCAAGGCGGCGAAGTACTTATAAAACATTTACCCATATGGGACTAAATGCCAAGACGTAAAGAAAACCTGGACGAATATTATGGTTCACCAATCAGTTTGGACAATATCAGGTATCAGGTAGGGATGGCAACGATATGTCGATGTACCGAAATCATCGATACATGGAACCGACGACATCTTGGCACCGATGGTTGTGTCCTAACTGTGCTGTCAACCCAAAATAGTAACTCCAAATTGGCAAAATCTTCACATTGCCGACTTGGCAGGAATCTGCTTAGTAGTACCTTAGTGGGTACTATTATCATAAACGCTAGATGGACTGTACCGCTTGCTTTACATTCTGTATTTCTTTCAAAGTAAACTACGCATTTCAGTCACTCTGAGCATTTTAATATATGTATATATATACAGATATATATATATATATATAATTTTTCTCTTTGTTATATTGTTGTCAGATAGCATAACTATATCATTTTTTCATTATTGTCAACGTGTTCTCAGTTTTGAAAATATCATATGACGCTAATTCATATAATTATCTGAAGACTATTTTTGTTTGAAGTTAAAGTTTTCATCTGAAATATTGAATACAGTTATTTGACTATAGTTTTATAAATCATGGAGACATCTTTCATGTAAAAATTTAAATAACCACTCATAGGTTTCTTATCAGAATTCCTTATACTGCGACACTATACCGTGCAATATTTTCCGTGAAAAAGTCCTTTCAAAACTTATTTATAATTACTAATCTCCTGGCTTCCGGGAAGCACTACATTAATACGCTTTCAAAAACTTCCAAATGAAAAGACCCTTCCGAAAAACTTTCGCTAAACTCCGGATTACTTTCCTACGTCGAGAAAGTTGCTCGAGATTTATTAATACTTTCTTTTTAAATGTTTATGTGAGGAAAATTGCTTTCTTCTCCTATTTTGTCCGCTTGCGTCGTCTTATTGCTGCTAACAACTTTATATGAGACGGAAAATTTGTATTAAAGTAAGCCTGGTAAATGCAATATGATTATGGACACTGTTTAAAGTTGCCTTTCCATCTTTTACTTCCCACGAGGAAGTATTGTAATCGCGAAAATTTTCTAGAATAGGATATTATGTTTATTGGATGTTTTATGACATACACATCACAAAAAATCATGTCACCCACTACAGTCTATCTGTCTGTAGTCTGTCCGCTAATCTTAAAACTGCCTAAACTTTTTGACGTTGGTATATTTATAGGTGTCCAACCCTAGTAATTATACGCACATTTTAGGCGTATGTCACTCATCATAACTCTCGTACATTTACCCTTAAGACTACCCTACAGTCGCGTGTCGATACGCGAAACGTCGCGTCCCCCGATGGACAAGCGTCGATGAGAGCGTTTCGTGGGATGTACTGAGTCAACTTACTTGACTCCACCTCTTTCAATAAGATTATGCAAAAAATCCGAATCAGAATATGTTCCCATCAGATACGAAGGTAATGCCTTATGTGACGAGAGGTGCGCAGGTGCTCCAGTACAGAGTTAGTCGACTGCTAAGCTACTATTTACACTTAGCGATGATAGAGCATACAAAAATTGCAGCCAATGAGACCAGGGCTCCGCTTTAGAGCAAGATTACTGATTAAGGCACTTTCCTCTATTCTGTTACACATTGGCAACTTTTTCTCCACGATAAATTGGAATCAGGAGATATTGCAATGCATATGTTTGCTTTCCGTCACTGTAACCAATACAGTATAGGTCCAATAGTCCTGGAGACAGAAGGATAGAAAGCAAACAAATGGGTATGATTGCTTGAAAAACTCAAAACACTGTGTGGAGGCAGGCAAAAAATCTGATGGTCTCCACCTACCAGTGGTTGCGTAGGGTCTTCGGTTATGTGTTATCCGATAAATTCCCTGTAAACCTGGGAGTTTCCCAGGGGTCCGTATTGGGTCCTCTATTATTTCTGCTTTTTGTAAATGACTTGCCAGACTTCATTTGAAGGGGAAAAGTTACAATGTTTGCTGATGATATCACGATTACTGTATCTTTCGAGGACGATTGTTTTGGTGATTCACGGTTCCTCAGCTTTCACTCTAACTGTCAATCGACGATCTTTGAGAACACAGCCCCGAATTCGTTCAACATTTCCATCAGAGCTCGATGTGGAGGGGCGTCCTGAGCGTTGGCCATCTTTCAGATCGTCTCGTCCTACCCGAAACATTTTTAACCACTTGTCGGTTGGTTCCTTCAGAGAACTGTCTCCGCAAACTTGACCCAAACGCTCATAAATCTCACGATTTTTGCCTAGCTTTGTAGGAAGCTTGACGTTGATGCACTGTTCGTCGTATCCGGCTCGAACTGAGAGTATAGGCAATTGCATAAAGAAAGAGAACCACTGGGCTACGTGACAGGACGCCCCAAATTTTCTATACGTCTTTTCCGGACAAACCTCGTATAGTCGGTATCGGGAGTGGAGAAAACTGACTGCGCAGTGCATGCATTCAAGGGATTCCTTGTGGAACTTTTATGCCTTGCAATAAACGTATTGTTCGTCTAATACCATTTCGTTATTTCGTGAGCTACGGCGGGTGCAGCTGTTACAATTGCTTCATACAAATGCGGAGATACTAAAAGAGGTCGTTATTGAAGTTTATGGGAAACTTTGTCAATTACTGTTCTATTAGCATTCACTCAGCGAGACGAGCTGGTGACTATGTACAGCACGATCGTAGAGATACTATATTTACTTTTCGCATGACAACAAAAACATTTTCGATCAATGTGCTGTCGCAACAAATTTTATATTAACAAATGTTGCGTGTTGCTTGTAACCGTAGTTACTCTATGCTGTAACACATAAATCTCCATGTAGCTTTGACCGAGATGTTTAGAGAATAAATACTTGACTTTCTTCCGAGCCTTGTTTTTTTTTCTATGTTTGTATCGGATGTTTCAAGTTGGACTCTACCAGTGGGATCTCGGAAGCGGTAAGAGATACGGAGCCGGTTAACTAATGGGACCTAGGTTTTTTTCATTATTTTTTTTTTGATTTCTATTAGAGACGGGATTTCAAAATAAAAGGTACATTAGCATTGCCACAAGGTGACGTAATTAGAATTTCAATCCGGACTCTGAAGGATTAGAAAAACTACCCCCACCCTGCATAAATTATAGCAGAATTTCTTGGCAACTTTCCCGACGGCACTGAATTTTTTGTTATTTATCAGATCTTTTTATTCACTTTTTTTGTCTCTTTTAAAAGCAGGCCACCTCCGATCATTTCCGAGAAACTAAATGAGTTGCATCAAGAGGTTCACAGAATCCTTATTGATTTAAGTGTACTTAGCGGAAATAAGCAAGTATGATATTACTTATTACAATTTTATTAAATACAGCCAAGAGCGCTAGTATTTCATTTTCATTCCTGCACATAACAAGACGACGCAAAGAATTATTCTTAACTTTCTGTAAGATGTCATTCTTTAATGTATACTAAGTGACATATAAATCCGAACACCCAGTTTAAATGGTTTTATTTTAATAAAAGTTGGTGAATGATTTATCTTACTGTAAATAACAAGCGAAAAAATTTTCAGCCTTATCAGTTGGACATTCCGGTTTTTATACTGTTTTTTCTTAATTCACTAACGCTCTAAAAATGAATATTTCAGCCGCAGTAAAGAATCAACGTTGGCGGATTTTGGTTCTTGACATCCTTTACGATCGGTTACGATGCCTAGAGTACGGAGACCTGTACGATTTCAACTTAGTGAGTTTGATAGGGGCCGTATAGTGGGACTTCGGGAAGCTGGACTTTCTTTTCGGGCAATTGCAGTTAGAGTGCAAAGAAGTGTAGACGCTGTGGTTAGGTGTTGTCAGGCATGGCTTCGAGAAGGCCGTACGCAAAGAGCAAGGGGCACTGGACGCCGCCGTAGAACAACAGACCGTGAAGATCGCCGCATAAGATTATTGGCCTTAAGGGACCGTTTCTCCACTACCAGGTCCATTGCAAATGAATGGGTTGCAGAACACGGAAGACCTATTGGCATGCGAAGTGTTTACCGACGAATGAGAAGTTTTGGCTTGTTTTCATACCGGCCACACTGGGTCCTCCCTTTAACTCGAGAACACCGACGTAATCGCCTTGAGTGGTGCAGACAACGGTCACTCTGGGATCAGGAATGGAACAGTATTGTCTTTAGTGACGAGTCTCGATTTTGTTTAGGCATGCACGATGGTCGTGCCAGGGTTAGAAGGCGACGTGGTGAAAGGAGGAATCCACAGTTTTTTGTTGAAAGACATGTTCATCACACTGTTGGAGTTATGGTTTGGGGTGCTATAGCTTATGGTTCCAGGTCACCTTTAATCTTCATCAGAGCTAACAGGAACGCGCAGCGTTATATCCACGAAGTTCTAGAACCCCATCTTTTACCCTATCTTGACACCCTGGCAGATCCAACTTTCCAACAAGATAATGCCCGACCACATGTTGCAAGAGTCACAATAGGCTTCTTTCAACATAATGATGTCACATTGTTACCATGGCCACCAAGATCTCCCGAATTATCCCCAATTGAGCA